TCGTATATCCGACGTAGTGAGACATCGTCGTCTGGCCCTTGCTGGGCACGTCATTCGCCACGATAAACATGCTGGAAGATTGCTGCTCTGGACTCCGGATACAAGGAGAGGGGTCGGCCGGCGATACGTCACCCTGAAATCAGTCATCGAGAGGGACACCGGCCTCACATGAGCAGACCTTTACGCCGTAATGGTCGATCGAGGACAATGGAGTTCGAATTTTGTAAATACTTCACCAACGCCGCACGGCATTGGATAACTCAAGAAGAAGAAGAAGTATATACATTCATTGTGTATATACATTCATTGTGTATATACATTCAATGTGTATATTCAGTCATGGTGTATATACATTCATTGTGTATATACATTCATTGTGTATATACATTCATTGTGTATATACATTCATTGTGTATATTTATTTATTGTGTATATGCATTCATTGTGTATATACATTTATTGTGTATATTCATTTATGTTGTATATATTTATTCATTGTGTATATTCATTCATTGTGTATATTCATTCATTGTGTATATTCATTCATTGTGTATATTCATTCATTGTGTATATTCAGTCATTGTGTACATTCATTTATTGAAGTCTGAGCCAGACAGACAGACAGACAGACAGACAGACAGACAGACAGACAGGCGGCGAAAAGTACGGATAGATCGATACAGAGAGAGAGAGAGCGCGAGAGAGAAAGAAAGAGAGAGAGCTACACTCACATATACGCACGCACGAATTCACAACGTCACACGCACACACACGCACGTGCACACACATGCACGCACACACCCACACGCGCGCGCGCACGCACGCACACACACACACACGCACACACACACACATACACAGGCGCGCGCGCACACACACGCACGCACCCACGCACGCATGCTGACTGCATGTGCAGAGATACAGCGCAAACGCGACCGTGCCTTGAGGATCATCAAACGTTAGCCAAGCAGCAATTAATAGCCAATTACCACTGCTGACATAAATCAGCTAACGAACCCCATCTATATAGCGGCAAGTGTCACAATTACTGTCAAATAAGGAGCAATTATCGTTCGCGCTGTCTTCTTTCTCACAGGTCAGCAGAGAGAATGTTGACGCCGTTAGAACGACTGATTAGTCATCGTCATCGTCCATCGTCATACGCATCGTCATTATGAGGGTTGTGAGCGGTGGTGATGCCCTGCAAGAGGTTGGCATACGTTTCAAAGTAGGCAAGAGGTCAGTGTACGTCACGCACGAACTCGGCAGTCTCCGAATTTGAATGCATACAGCCTGCTGATGGTGCTGGTGGTTGCGCATGGTCATATTTCATACTACGCATATCAACTTCCGCATCAGACTTTCCGTATATCAAGGAATGATGCAAAAAACTTAACCCTAACACTAACGCCAACCTCAACCCTAACCCTAACACTAACTATAAACCGACTCGGCTATCTTATATACGCATGCCATAGTACCAAACACTATCTATGGTGTATAGATTGCCACTGACGTCACACTGACGTGCACTGACGTCACGCGGATACTCTGTTTCATGGAAACATATGCCCACCCCTGCGAGAGCGCTCGCACTGACATGAAGGTAAACATCTGTGATAACGTGATAACATTTATTATAACAATTGATTATAACAACTATTATTGATTATGAATTAAACGTAATTATTATTTGATAAATACAATAAAGGATTCGATCGGTGGCGTTCAAGTTTAGTTAGATACTTTAGGTAATGACCTAATTTGTTTGTGTGTGAGTTGTGTCATACACACAACACGCGAGGGCGCGCACACACACACACACACACACACACACACACACACACAAACACACACACACACACACACATATATATCACACACACACA